TGGAATTTTGATTGTTATCTAATAATGAATTTAGTCGATACGATATAATAAAATTTAAATAACAATTAAAATACACATAATATTTAAATTAACAATACATTACAACAAATAAAAAGAGGTTGATCATGTTTCCAAGAACCAAATAATGCAATAATCATGCAAAAATTACAAATCTGTAAAGTTGAAAATTGATGAAATAAATTAAGAGACTCGAATTGTTTCCTTTATCCCTATTCAGAAGCCAACCACAAAAGTCAAGCGCTGGTGATTTTTGTTTTCTCCATAATAATAAAAATGGATTCATGATTTAAATTTTATAGAATTATTTTTAAGGTTATCTGTATTGAATTTATTGTATCTTTTAAAAATTATCAAACTCAACCAATGTAATCACAAAACAAACTCGTCGAAAATCTATGTTTTGTTGATGTGACAGGATAAAGTAAGATAAATTTTACAAATGATCAGATTATTATTATCTCTTACACCAAAAGTCACTTAACTATATTTTAACATAAAAATATAATCTAATAACACGAAAAAAATCAACTTCAGGCGAGTAATATTTTTTACTCTTTTTTTTGGACTAATACATGCAGCTCTTCCTGACACTAAGCAAAATATTGAAAATATATATATATTACCTTAAAAGCATGAACTCCTAACTTTTAAATTACTATAATATCTCTAACTTAGGTTGTGACTTTTTCAATGAGTTGTGATTTTTCTGATAAGTTGTGACTTTTTTCAAAGGGTTGTGATTTTTCGATGAATTGTGACTTTTTCAAAGGGTTGTGATTTTTCGATGAGTTGTGACTTTTTCAAAGGGTTGTGATTTTTCGATGAATTGTGACTTTTTCAATAAGTTATGGCTTTTCCAAAGGGTTGTGACTTCTCGAAAAAGTCATGACTTTTCAGATAAGACACAAAAAACAATATTTGTTCATACTCCCTTTTGTTGACTATATATAGAGGGGTTTCTCTCAATTTTTCACCACAATTTTTTTTTTTAATCTTCTACTCTTCTTCATCTTGCATTTTAATTTTTTTTTTGTGTGATTTATTGTCGTTGAGTGAGTTCGAAGTTTAGCGGAATATGAGGTACTACTATTCTGATGAAGTAAGTCGTTCTATCCTAAGAGGATATATTCCATAACCTCGAGTACTTGAGGAAAATAATTTTGATGATATAATAATTATTTTTTGTTTAATATATACATTAGTATGTAATGTTCCAATTATATATGAAGTTAACATGACGTAGTCTAAATTCATTTGTTTTTGTTAACAATTTCTCTTGCGATATAGATATATGCTTCTGAATATCTTTTTCCAAAATTTAGAGAATTGTCACCAATTGTGCATGAATAGTGAATGCACCTGGGTCTTCTTCTTAATTCTGAAGCAGAAACCTTGTAGCGATAACACGATAGTGTTGCAAGTTATCTGCCGGCTCAAAACTGATTGTCCTCTTAGTTGTGACCAAGTTCTTCATGAACTTAGCACAACTTAACATATGTTGTAAAGCTTCTACCAGAGGAATATTCACTTAAAACTGATGAAGCTTGTATATGAATTTCAATAACATACCATCATCATATTTCTTCTTCATCCTTTATTGAAATAGAGGTGTGGTTTAGGAATTCGTTGTTGTTGATGTATCGTCTATGCTCTTAGCCCCTTCAACTTCTTTAGGACTAACTTCCACCTCTTTTGACTTACCAGAATCAACAAGAACCTTTGCATCAAACCCTTCTCAACCTGAGTATCAATTTTAGCTTTAGCATCTCCTTCCTGCTCAATACTTGTAGGTAATGGTCCTGGAAGTGACTTACCACTCTTAATAGTAATTTCCATGCATTACCCCTCATTTCTTGGGTTTTGAAAAGTACCACTGGGTAGTGTACCATTCTTTCTCTGATATAATGTGGCAGATAGTTTCCCCATCTGATGCTTCAGATCTTGAAAGATATCGAGTGTGAATCGACCAATTGAATCATGTTGGAGAGATCACCTTTCAACTTCTTAACCCCAGATTCTGTGGATTTCATCCTAGAGTTACTTGTTCGATTACCTGCTCTGTCTCTATTAGCAGGAGGAACATATACTCCACTACAATCATTCTTGAAGTTATCTTTGTTATGCTAGTTCCCTTGATCGCAGTTTCCAACTCTAGCATAGTAGTCATCCTTTTGATAGTTTCTACCTTTGTCTCCCAAATTGTTATTTTAGAAACCCCTTAGTTGTTCAGATAATTGACGTTCTCATCAAAATCAAAATCCAAGTCCTCATGTCAATATGCAGTTCCTACTGATCTACCAACTAACAAATGTTTGGTCAACAAGCCCATCTATGTCTTCATATGGGCCATATCCTGATCACATTCCTCTTCTCGCCGATGCTACTCAGTTGACATACCTACTACGTAATTGATCCCTGTAATTTCAAAATCTTGTCATGATCCAAGACTACCTCCTAGATGTGACATAATACCTAGAATCCCAAAAGACTCTACGCTTAACCACATGACAAAGCATGATAGTAAGATGACAACATAACTAAAATAACATGAATACAAAATATGAGTATCCAATGATAAACTCAACGTATATGAAAAATTTGAGTACAAAGACCATAAAGCGAAAATACGATGTCTGAAACCAAGCCTCCACTACATGATGTGTGGACTGGACAAACCCTTTCTGTGTTTTTTTGTTTAAAGAGAGATTTGTATTATAAATACAGCTAGTGGGAATCGAACTCCAAACCTCCATGAGGTGAACGAGTGTGCCTATCATTGGACCATCTGCCTTTGCTTTTTCAAAGAGTGTTCAATTAATAAATATCCACATATTAGACTCTACTAGTATACGTACCCGCGCGTTGCGCGGATATTATAAAATGTTAAAGTTATAGTTTAATTTTTTTTTTAAAATTGTAATTAAATATTTGAGATGAGAAACATGTATTATTTAAAATAAAATAAATAATTTTTTTTTGTTTTTGGAAATATATGAAAAATAAATAAAACTTTGATTGAATATTTAAAATTTATTATGCGTCAAGTTAATAAGGATAGTCGAATGAAAGCAAGCCATGATATAGTAAAAGTTCTGTAAGAGGTTTATAAATTTTAATAATGCACAACTTAAATATATTTAGAAAATTATATTATTCTTGATTTACTATAAATATGTACAATAAATTTTTAAGAAAGAAATAACACGTATTAAATAAAAATTAATACAAATTATAATAATTACTAAAAACTTAATATATTTAAAAATGTGATATAAATTACATTTATTATAATCTCAACAATTAAATTAAGTTGAAATGGAATGAATAATAAATAATTTATTAATTTAATAATGTATTAAAGTAAGATGTGACAACGAAACGATTTTTTAGGAATATTGATGCGCGTGCCTGCAGTATATATTTATTGCAAGTCATTAATGTGTGTGCTTGTATGTATATGTATTTATTAGTTTTATTAAAATATGGTCAATCTAAGTGAATTGGAAAAAAGTAAAATCAAATAGATTTTTGGACAACCCACCGAAATCCAAAAGTAATTGGAAAGTAAAAAGGGAAAAAACGTAAAAAACAAACAAAATGGATCTCTCTGGAAGGAGACCAAAATATGAACAAAATTTTCCAGATTTGGAAGGTGAGGTACCTCTTCCGAGTGTGGATCTTCGCAAAGTTTCTGAGTGATTTGTCAATGTTGTGAGTGCTATTTCTTTCATCTCTTTAGTAAATCTTCTATTGTCTTTTCTACTATGAATATCTTCTGCAAAAATATGGTAAAGTTAATTTTACAATTTCAACATTTGAACATGCAAATGATAACATAGCATAAAAATGACTTTCTTCAAGCATGTTAAGATTAATATATATGGCATAAAAGATTTGATAGGAGTTGTTTTCAGATCTAGCATCGTTCCGACAAAAATTCAATGTACTGTGAAATGGTGAGTTAAATTTTTGACATTTTTTTATATTGATCCTTCATAATGAGAACTTCAATTGAAGAATATATTAGCATGAAGTAGTTCTTGTTTTGGATTAATTTTAATGAGATTTATCAGGTTATGTCTCCTTCATATCTATTTGGAATGGTCAGATACGGCTAATAGTTTAACTGTAATTTAAATTATAAAGTAGTAAATGCATGGTATTGCAAAGCTATAATAAGCTTATGTTGATAAAGATTTTGGTATCTTGTTAGGTGATTCAGAGATTTTGTATATATAATCTGAGTTACAGTTTTCCTAGCAAGCCGGAGTAAATTGTACTTGAAATTTTTTAATGTGAATTGTCAAGACACAGTTTATTATATATTATAAGAAAAAGTTATCATTTTCTTTGTCTCCAAATCATAATTTGTTAAAATGACCTTAAAATATAGGAACTTGTCACTTTTACTTTTTAGAGAAATGAGTAAAGTTTAAAAAGTAGTAAAGATTGTAAATGTGTGAAGTCTTATAATCTATCTGTACTTTAAATATGGATAAAACTATCTGATAACTATGAAGTTGTATTTATTATTAATGTTTAATAGTAGTATTAATATATAGATTTGTGTAGTTTATGATAATTTATATATATACAACAATTTTGAGCAATGTTTATAATACAATTTCTGTCTTAATACATTCTAACTGGAAAAAAATTCCTAATATATTTTCATATTTCCTTTTTAATAAGTGTATTGTAGATGGCGGAGAAGTTGATTATGGGAAGAATTTTTTACTGCCAGTGTATCGATGGGAAATAGCAGTGATTATAATTAGCTAACTAAGGTTAGTACATATCGACTATTGCATATTTCAAAGTAATTTGGACTTTCTTGTCTTTTTTTTATTAATGTGTACCTACTTAATGTTAACTTACTAAGTTAAATTACATAATTAATGTAACCTAAAACATATATAATAGTTAATATAAAAGTTATTGTAACATACACAACAAAAATTGTAGTATATATATAAAAGTTAAAAACTACAATGTATGTCAAATAAGTTTTGGAAAACTTCTTTATATACTACATTTGTGGCTTCATTACTTATTTTCCCATCTTCATCATAAGTAAGTATTTTTAATCCCTTTCTATTTGTCACTCTGGAAAGAGCAACATATAACTGTCCATGCGTAAACACTGGCTTCTTCAGAAATAAGCCCACATGAGATAAAGACTGTCCTTGACTCTTATTGATTGTCATAGCAAATGATACAGTTATAGGAAACTGTCTTCTTTGAAACTTAAAAGGAATTCTGGAATCTGAAGGTGTTAAAGTCATTCTTGGAATAAACACCTTCTGGCCAACCATTTGTCCAGATAAAACCTTTGCTTCAATTACTTGATTTCCAAGTTTAGTAACAATCAATCTAGTTCCATTACATAATCCTGCTGACTGATCGATATTTCTTAGTAACATCACTGGAACCCCAACTTTTAAAGTGATTGAATGATTTGGAACGCCAGAACATTTAATATTGTTCAAAAATTCAGGGGTATGTACATGTTCCAGAGCTGAATAAGTATGATCAGATCTGCAAATTTTATCAGAACTTAAATATGATTTCTCAGGATTATGATTAAGAGTAATCATATACTGATTTATCGATTCAACCATATCAAGAGTTGGAGCAAGAATGGCTCTTTGTTGAAGGTACTCTGGATCATTGCAATTAGTGATGAAATCTGGATAAATACTTTCCACAATAGATGCTATAGGATCAGTATACTCATTTATTAGAAGATCATTTGGTATTAAAACTTTGTCTATTCCATCAATTGAACTTCCAATGCTACCATCCCCAACTTTCAATATCCAATTAGAAAAATCTCTCAATTCTTCCAAATGTGTATCGTTTGCATTGCTTTGTAACCTCATATTCTTTGTTAGAGTTAATAGTTGACATTGTGGCCATAAATATGATGAATTTACAGTTGCATTAACAATATCTTGTCTGGTACCTTTTGGAATAACAGGTAAAATTTGTCTAAAGTCACCTCCAAGAACAACTGTTTTTCCTCCAAATGGTAATTCTGCCTTAGATGCATCTTTATAGCTAATAATATCTCTTAAAGTTTTATCCAAAGCTTCAAAACAATATTTATGCATCATAGGAGCCTCATCCCAAATAATCAACTTTGCCTTGACTATCAAATTTGCTAAAGGAGTACCTTGCTTTATATTACATGTTGAATCTTCATTTATATTCAGAGGGATAACAAATCTTGAATGTGATGTTCTACCACCAGGCAGCAATAGAGATGCAATCCCGCTAGAAGCTACTGTCAAAACAATATCTCCTTTAGATCGTATAGCTGCTGATAGTGTCCTCCAAATAAAAGTTTTTCCTGTACCTCCAAAGCCGTATAGAAAGAAAAATCCACCACTATTTGTAATAACTGCTGACATAATTTTTTTGTAAACTGCTTTCTGTTCATCAGTTAAATTTTGTAGCAATTCTTGATGTTCCTCAGTTAAAGCACCTTTATTGTAACGCATTTCATCTCGAATTAATCTGTTGCTATAATCGACCTCATCCTCATTATAGACAGGTAATGGCATTGTTGAAAAATCTTGAAAACTCCTTCCACACCCTTTTAAAAAGGTTTCAATCTTTTGCAAGCAACGATTCTTCAAATCTGCTTCTGATAGATAAACTTCTGAAAAAACATATAAACATATACTAATTTAATAAAATAATCTAATTCTAATTTACTAATTATTAAAAATTATTAAAAGTAAAATAATAATAATAAAATAATAAGAAAAAGAAAATAAAAAGATTATATATGATAAGTGTCAGGTGTATACATTATTAAATACCTGGGTTATCTAATATTCTTCTTTCTTCAAAAATGATATCTTCTGATAGTAAGTGCCAAGTTGATTGCCACACTATCTCCGGACGTGACATTGAATTAGATATAAGTAGCATAGCAAATAATTGTCGTAGATATGATGGCATTCCCCATTGACTTGCTTCTACTATAGCATCAACATATTCTTTGTCATCATCTAATAATCCTAGAGCATAACATGCATCTCGAAAGGTCTCATGATCAATATCATTTATTCTTCTGATCTCCTCATAAGAAGTTGGACCTTTAACAACATTCAATAGCAATCTAAGGTAATATTGATCACCAGATCCCGGTGGAACAAAGAAAATTCTTCCAATAGAAAATGCTGAAGTTTTCCTTTTTTCCCATCTCTTAGATTGTTGCTTCCAAACAAAATTTAAAGGAAATTCTGCATACTTTAGATGTCTTGCTTTAGGAAATTCCTTATTAGCTTCCAACCATCTTAAAAACATTGATTCCTTCACTGTTGGTTTATTGATAACAACATCAATTGGATCATCATCTGAAAATATGACATTTTGATTGTCTGGTAGATGAAAAGTTAAAGGTTCTCTATGGTGGATTGGGAATTTGAAAATTCTCCAAGATGCTTCACAGGATGATATATAGCGACAATCACAATACATTTTTATTTCATCCACAACCTTTGAATCTGAAGAATTAACACTATCGCAAAAAGCTGTTGTGACTCGATCATGACCTTTATTAACATACTTATATAAGTATTTAATCGATCTTGATTGATTGCACCATTCAACATTAATATGTGCCCCATATTTCATTAGCAAAAATTTATTATGTGGTACAACATATCGATTATCTAAATCAATTCCTGATCTCTGTGTAGATCTACCATCATCTCTTCTTCGATATAAAGGATATCCTTCTTCATCAAGTGAGGTAGATGGTAAAAATCTTTTTGGAAAGTGCTTTGTACATTTGCCTTTTTGCATGCAAGGGGATGATTTTCTTATTGAACCACATGGCCCATGCATCATGAAGTTTGTAACAGCCACATAATAATCCGAATCAAGTAATTTATCAAGCAATTCAGCTGAAATAATCGCATCAATGTCTCCAACATTTGGAAATTTATCATGGAGAAAAAGTAAGATATGTGCATGAGGCAATCCACGCTTTTGAAATTCAATAGTGTAAATCACTATATGAAGAGAAAAACAAAATATTATTTGTAATTTATGATTTTATTTAAATAAAACAAATTATATTAACTTTAAAATGTAATATAATAAAATAAAGCAAAATAAAGTTCATACCCGCTTTTACTTCTCCAAAAACTTTATTGTCTCTTAAATCTTTTATCAAATGATCCAATTTGATTTTAAAGACTCTTGTTATAATGTCTGGCCGATCTTCTGGATGCAATCCTCTACTATGCACAAATCTATTAATTTCAGGCCATTTCGGATTGCATGTAAATGTAATGAATAAATCAGGATATCCAGCCCATTTACATATTGCCATTGCATCTTGATAATTTTGCAACATGTAACGTGTTCCACCTGTGAAAGTAGAAGACAATATAATTCTTTGTCCTTGAGAAGATGGTTCTGTGTCTCCATGCAAAACTGCTTCTTGTAATCCTTTATATAAATGTGTTCTCAAGTTTCTTTGATTTAGTCTATAAAACAATAAGCGAGAAGATTCAATCATTGTATATCCATCAACCAAGAATTGTTGAAATAATCTTTTAGCAGAAACAATTGTAGGTACTTCATTCTTCCTTTCTTGAATTTTATATGCAAAATATTCGCAAGAACTAACACGTTTTCTTCCCTCACTTGATTCATCAATTCTATTTAAAGGAATATCTTCTCTATAACCATCTTCCCCATAAGGTAGTAGTAATGGATATTGCAAACCTAAATATGCTGCATTAAGCTCATTTATTCTCTGAAGTTGTCCATTTTGACTTTCGATTATTATATCTCTGTCAGTATTTGTTGGTTCAAAATCGCCAACAACCAAAGCTGCTACCTCTGAAACTGATGGCAAGTTATATCTTCTTCCATCTGATCCTCTTCTTCCGATAAGTCTTAGTTTAACACTTGTACTTTGTTCAGCTTGAAATCTATCTCTAACCATACGAAAACTCTTTGCAAGAACATTATGTTTATCAAGCATTTCCTTCAGTTCGGTGACAATTTGAGCATGGATTTGATTGTTGCTTTCACCGCTACTACAAAGTGAATAATAATATGTTGATAATAGTGATTAATTACTTCAGTTATAATTAATCTTATATAATACATTAATAAAATAAGTACACACCTGATAACATTCATTCTATTTGTTACCTCATTTTCTGTATCATAAATATATAATTGTGCAAATTTTGGAGTAGATCCCTCATTAGGCAATAAGCTTCCAATTTTATGATAATTCTGTCCAGATAATCTGAAAGTTCTTGGCCCCTTTGTTTGATTGACAGATGCATCAATTTTTCCTCCCATTGATGTAAAAGAAAACATGGAATTATAAGTTCGGATATTCTCTCTGAAATGGTTACTTTTTTCACCTACAATAAATTATAGAAATGTAAAGTTGATAAACAAAATTATTGACGTGTATTTATATTTGTATTAAATAAATTAATTACCTGATCCAAATAATAATTCCTTCAACACAGTAGGAGGATCCTTTGGATTGGGAAGCTTTATCTTTCCATGACCACAACACAAAGTGAAAACAGGTCTTTTGTTTTTACACTTCTTATCAATTCTTTCCGCATACCAAAAGTAAGCGCCGCAGTATTGACATTCATAAATTGGATCTCCTATATCCCAATAGTCTAATTTTTTTTTAAAAATACGTTAGAAACAAAGTAATTTGTTTAAACAAAGCAAAGGTTAGGGATAGTAATATATAAAAATTACCTTCATTGTATAGTTTTCCACTACCAAACTCATCTGCTGCCAACATATCTACATCTTCATTTTCATCATGAGTTAGATGATTTGATATTCTGTTATCTGTTACAAATAATATAGAATTTGAATATATTGCAGATGCTTATTGAATATTGTTATGTTCTTTTAGTGATATACCTTTGAAAAATGCCATTTTCCGTAATAGATGAAATAAGTTTTATGAAATTTGAAGAAGATAAAAGTTTTAAATATGAACAATATATAGGTAGTGTAATATATTTCACTGTTGTATAGTAGAAGACATGTATTATATTGAGCAATAAAAATAGAGATAGGAGATCAAACCATTGAAATCTGATGAGTATTTTCCACGCTTTTTATTCTGTCGTAAGCTTAATCTTTGTTTTCTTGCTAATTTCTTCTGATCTGTCATGACTTTGATATGAGTTATTGAACTTGAAATCTAATTATATGGTAAATTACCATGAATAAATGCAGTTGACCAAATAGCAGTTATTTTAAAATCCAGATTAGTGCATTTAGTTGAATAACTGTTAATTTTAAAAAATATTAATTATTATCATTCTGATATTGTGAGTTATTAGACAGTAAATATTTTGGAGTATAACAGTTTAAAATTATAACTGTTTTTTTTATTGTTTGTGATTTTGAATAGATTAAGGACCTCAAATAGAAATAAATCGATTTATAGTTATGCTGAAACTTTTTAACAGGTTTAACTTTATAATAACTTGGGAAAATATATTCTTCACTTGTAACAATTACTAAGAAGATTAATATTTGTTTAATCTCTCTCTCTCAATGTTTTTGATATGTATTTACCATATCATTCATAAGATATAGAAGTAGTTGAATATTGTAACATATGTGATCCTAGTAAAAATTATGTGAATCAATAATTTCTTTGACATTGCTTTTATTTATGTTAGATCTGAATATGCATTTGTTTTTAAGGAGTTGTTCCAAACTATAGGCATTATGTGAAGGGTAACAAAATATACATTGATCAGATGAAGGGTAACAAAATATACACAGAGGTAATGAGAGCAATATTTGTCATTGCTTTGGATCAAATTCCTCATTACAATTTATTTGTGCTTTGGAATTTTCATCTATTCAATGCTAGGTTCCTTCTTATAGTTGTATATATGAGTTACTGTTAAGTAACATCTATTGTATGACGTGTTATAAAAATTGCACCAAATGCAGTAGATATAGCATAAAATATATAAAGATCATGCAGAGGATTTGATAGGAATGTCTATGAACATGTTTGAGTATTTGATGAGTTAGTTTATCTGATAATTATATATGAAATAAGATACTGACACCAACACTTGAGACAAAACTTATTATATCTATGTGTAGGATGTTGCCTTTCTTTTCATCAGGTTGTAGTTTACTTCATTTTAGGTTCTTGACCCTCCCTCTAAATAATATAATCAAGGAAAATATATTTAAAATAATATTTTACAGAATGTCATGTTTTGCTATATAAAATATTCTGTTTTTATAGCATATGTGTTATTGAAGATTTATTATATATGATTTATCTATTTTTGAAATTAGTTCACGAAGTTTGCGCACATTGATACAATTGTCAGTGTGCTGTTTAGTGTGCTGTTTAGTGTGAATTTGGTGCGAATGTTTTGGTGCAATTCCGGGTTCTGTTTACGCTGTTTTTATCGTGAAGTTTTTGGTGCAAATTCAATGTTTTTCTGGTGGTTTTTTGGGTGCAATTCTAACGTTGTTTTAGAGATGATTCTGATGCTGCTGTTTTGGTTTAATTCAAATGATGTTTTAATATTTTTATTGTGAAAATTTAGTGCAACTTTGGATCTTTTCTGCTGCTGTTTTGGTGCAACTTTAGGGCTGTAGCATTGTGAATATAAATGAAGATTCAACATGTTATATACAGCAAGGTACTCCTTCAGCAAATATGATAGAATTTTTATAAATCATTGTTCATTATGACTACCTTTGAACATATATATTGGAAGAATGAAGATGAATTGCTTGGAGCTTTAGAATATCTGATTCCTATTCTGAATATATCAGCTCAGAAATTGATGTGGATCCACCATATTGTTCACCAAAGTGTTGCATATTTTTTAACATATGGGAATAAGGTATGTCTCTTAAATTGCACTAACGTATTTGTAGAAATCAGCTAATAGTGTGTTGTTTAGATTTTATATGCAGTAAAGGTAACTTTAATGATCCTTCTGTTACTAATGAGTGTTAAACTATAAGTCAGAGAATATAAAATACACATTAAGACAACATGTAGAGGATTAACAACATAAATTTAAAAACAACCCCACAAACACACACATATAGAGAGAGAGAGAGAATGATGGATAGATATAGATTGAGAGAGAGAGAGAGATAAATAAAGAAGACAGCTTAATAGCTTGAATTTATATAATAAACTACATAAATCATCCAACTACCTTATTAAAACTTAAATATTAAAATAATAAACTAAACTTAATACAACCTAAATTAAAACATAATCTTCCAATAACTTTTCAAATTTGGAAGATAGCTTTAGGTATTCTTTTCCTTCTTAATCACTTTGCGAATTTTGTTGCTGGGTTGTTTGACATTCAAATCGTCTTTAATTTCATGCCTTGTAGATTTTCCAGCAACTTTGCTACTCTTGGTAGATATCTTTGTAGTTAAATCAATCACATCTTCAATAATTAATGTAGCACACTCTGAAATGCTGCTCTTGATTGGAGTCTAAAATTAAATTAAAATAACATAAAGATTATAAGTAATTCAAGTGTTTTCAATCTGATTAGTAATATAGAAGATGTAACTTATCTAAAGTTAGAATACCTCAAAGAGTTTATCTTCATCATAGCTTTGCTCACATTCAAAAAGTGATTTCTGTATGAACATTATAAACATAATTAACAATTTATACAAAATTTAAAAATTTGTATGTATAATGTAAACAAATATGTTGGTGTTTAAACACTTACATTAAGACTGTCCTGAAGATCAGGATGACAAAATTCCTTTAAAAGAGTATCATCATCGGTGAAATTAACAACTTTATAGACATTATCTTTTCTGTTAATGTTTGAGTCCTTGATCAAAATCTTAAACATAAATTTCTTCTCCATTAAATAACTAAGCTCGGTTGGATAAGAACTTTCGTCATCTTCAAGTAATCCTTCTTTCAACTCTTTTGCAGTTTTACCAAGTAGTTGTATAGTCTCTTTATTCCAAAGCAATATTGAAATAAATGCAGTGCCATCCATAACAGACAGTTGTAGCCTGTATCTAAATAGCATAATATTTTGGATTATATAATATATATAAAAATAATTTTAAATAGTTTGATTTTTTATACAAACCTGTGAATAACATATTTAACTTCAGAATTGCATTTTTTACAATAATATTTGGTTCCCTCTGTATCAACCTTTGTAATACAATTGTTGCAAGCCAAGTATGACCATCCATGGTCAAGTTCCAAACAGACGATTTTTGCAGCAATCCAAAAGGAAGATTCCTTTGTATTAAAAATTAAAATAACATATCAATTAAGTTAAATAGACCAATTATTATACAGTAAATATGTAAATATATAGTGAGAAAATTTAAAATAGATTAGTAGACTCACCTCGTAGCATTGAAGCAAATCAGAAAGATATGTAAAGGATACAACACCTTTAGACAACTCATCAGTAATAGAATGATGTTTTTGAGAACTTGTCTGGGAGATCCTCTCATATTTATAATCACATGATGAAATCAATCTGCAAAAAAATTCATAACAAATAGTTTTGATATAATTTAGAATTATTATTATTAAACAAAAGAATAATTAACTACATTGCAAATGTTAAGAAACATGCCTAAGAAAAACTAAATAATTTTCTAACCTGTCTTTGAATTCAGTAGGCTGAGGAAGATTAGAATTAATCCAGATTTTGGTTTGATACCAACAACTACGTACTGAGTAATTTTCTGATGATTGATATTAAACAATGTCAAAAAATTATACTAATTAAATTTGTATTTTATATACAATTGCCTATTACAATGTTTTAACCTCTAAATTTGTGAGCCTTCATTAATTGACAAACCACAATCAAAGGTTCATCTGCAGATCCTGTCAAATGTGGTTGTATTTGGTCCGCAAGTTCACCCCATAATGTTGTTGACAGTCTATTTTTACTGTATGAATGGAATTTAATTACATTTTAATATATATAAAAATATATATCAATATATAAAAGGATAAAATGAATTTAAAATAATTACTTATCATCTTCTAGAACAATATTGATGAAATAACTATTGTTATCTCCTTGCTTTATCTGTTGAATTGGTTGATATGAAGAAACATGTCCAATAACATCTGCAAATAAAATATATTATTAATATATTGTAAATTTAAAATATAATAAATGGAATAACATATCATTATTACCCAAAAGCTCAGTCTCATCAACATTGTGATGAATTGTCAATTTGTCAAAGGTGCGGATATTGAATATATCCATATGAAAAGAAGGATCTTGAATTTCCTTAACATTTGTAGTCACAGTGAAGTTAAGCTTGTGTTTGTGTGTTGTTGTCTTAAATTTCATGATGTTTGGGGTAATCACAAAGTAATTCATCCGAAAAACACCAAGTTCATATAGAATTTCTCTGAAATGCTTAATTAATGTCTTTCCAATTGATGCATGAATACGATCACCCTGTAATAAAACAAAATGTTGTTTTATGATAATTGTTTTTCAAGTATATAAAAACTATTTGTATGAGTGGTACCTTTTCATCTTGTAAAATCATCTCCAAAGAGTAAGGTATTTCTGGTTTGAATTTATCAGGAACTATCCACAATCGAATAACTCGAACTTTTAAGTTCCAGTGCATTGATTTAGATGTAATTTCTGAGATTGTGTGAAAGTGCAAAGCCATCTATATTACTGAATATCGCAGAACAATCGACGAACAACGTAAAATTTGTATGTAAATTTATTACTGAAAGATGTCTATTTATAGTAGGGAAATTTATAGATGCAGTAAATAATTGTAGTTTAAGTTTCCTTGTTTATTGGATGGTTATTGAGAAGTTATAAAACTGCTTGTATTTATCTGTTAAAATATTTTTATTGTTTGGTATAAATTATAAATACAAAATAATGATATATTAAGCTTTTGTAATTAAAATTATGTATCTTCTGATTTTGAGGCTGCCTCGATCCAGTTAACCATGATAGTTGAGTTATTTAAGTATCATTGTGAAGCTCATCATGCGCTATTCTGGAAAATTTTCTTAAGTTTAGTCTCTCAGGCCAAGTAGGTGTTTAGAACAGCTTTAAATTTGTACATTGGTGATTATGTTTATAATGTCTTATCGAATATTGCTTGGTATCTATCTTGGTTGTGTTTTAAAACATATGATGTCACAGTCGAATATTTTTGTATATATTAATTTAAAATTTAAGCTTTAGTAATTAAAATTAAGTATTTGTCTATAGATGATGTAATAGTTAAATAATAATTTTAAACTAATTATTTATAATTTTTTTTAAAAATTATTGTGTAACTACCGCAGAATCTATCAACTTGTTTTGTACTTAATTATTAATTAATATTTTTTTTTAAAAACTGTTGTGTAACTACCGCAAAATCTATCAACTTGTAATTATTTAAATAATTATTTATTATTTATTAATTATTATTTAAAATGATTTAAAATTTAAAATTCTAAAAAATTGTGGTAATGACACGTAGGCGTTTTTTCTTCTCCTTTTATATATAGATAGATTTTGCCTATATACCCGATATAATTTTCTGACGAAGGGTGTTCATCTGACCACCCTTACTAGGCTGTAGCTCCGCCCCTGCACTAGAACAATCTGAAAACTGAAAGTATGAAATGAATCTATATATATATATATATTTATATATATAATAGGAGAGGTGATAGCGCATACATGTCAGCGCCACAATTAATCTCTATTTTTAATATTTTAAAAATCAGTTAATTAATTATTAATTGGAAGTACATATATAATTAAAAAATTGGAATTAAGAAATTGGTTTTTTAATTAAAAGTAACCGAATACAGAGGAAAAAACGTATGTTGAGTTTTAATATATATATATATACACATACATACTAAACAAACATAATTATGAATTATTATAATTATTTTAACATTTGAAAATAAAAAAATTGAAATTAAAATTGTAAGCGTTAACAAAAGTTTTTTAACTGTTAATTTAACTTTTTACTATAAAAAAAAACATAATTATGAATTATTATGATTAATTTAATATCTGAAAATAAAAATTGTAAACACTAATAGAAATTCTTTTACAGTTATTCTAACTTTTTACTTTTTTAAAAAAATAAATCAAATTTAACAGTAGGTTACATACATCGTGTTATTCCTAAAAAAATGCACCAAACACATAAAAAAATAACTGTATCTGTGTGGTATTGATAAAGTAGTTTATAAATTTTATTTATAAATTGAAATTTAATCAAAAAGTAATACATTAAAACTGTCAATTTAATTTATTATATATATATATATATATATATATTACATTATTTTTTTGAAAAAAAAAAAAGAGAAGAAAATTGAAATTAACGAAAAAGAAAAAATAAATAGGAAAGGAAGTTCAGTGGGAGTTTAAACACACATAAATAATTTAGAGTTTTTGCACTTTTCTCTAACAATTGTGTCATGGTAAAAAAAAATAGTTACAAAAATAAATGTGTCTCTGTAAAAAATAAACAGTTATTATAAACAAGTGTGTCACAGTAGAAAAACAGTTACAGAATTAAAAAATATTTTATATATATTACTCTAATTTTTTTTTTAAAAAAAAGGTACACTAGTTGCACACCCTTCTCTCAACTTTCTTTTGTATCTCTCTTTATTTTTCTCTTCTTTAATTTATCTCTTCTATACGGTCGTTGTTATTTCATTCTGATTTAAATTAGTAAATTTAATTGCTAATCTCCATATTAGTTTTAGTGTTTGTGTAGTCAAATACAAAAAGTGAGATTGGATCCTTGGATTAAAAGATTGACACCAGAGGTAAGTATTTATAATTATTTGTTTTAGAATTTAATAAATTTGTTCACGGTATAAATTATATATTTTTTCTAAAAAAAATAATAATTCAATCTTAGCACCAGATAAATTAGTAATGATCACAAATTTAGTAATATAGAAATTCGCAAATATGATTTAATTTGCTTTAAAGGAATTATAGAATAATCTCAATTTTTATTTGAAGTTATCTAAGATTCTATGTTGTCTTAGTAGAGGTTAAAAGGTAAATTAGGAGTTGTAACATAATTAATGTGATATGTTTTGGATAGAAATATAATAGCTGTAAACTCATTTTTTATGAAAATAAGAAGCAATTACTATATATACACTGCAAAAATATTAGATGTTTGATTTTCTTTTGCTTACAAGTCATTTGGTAGTTTTAGAACAAAACTAAAAGAAAACAAAAAAAAATAATAGACAACAAAATTAACTATTTGATTAGAAAAAATTTCAAATGCGATGATACAAAATAAATTAAAAATAAATAATTAACGAAAAAAATAGGAAAAAGAAAATATTAATAAAGAGATAGTTAAAAATACATAGGTAAAATTAATACTGATTTGTGCAATAATATTGATTTGTAATGCCAACTTTTGGTGGTTAATAAAAGTTGATAATTACCAAAAAAAAATAGCGTACAAATCAGTAATAAAAAATAATATTTTAAAACAACAACAACAAAAATAATTTGGATAACAATGAATTTAAATTGCAAATCAATTAGTTTCCACGAAAATATAGACAATAAAGAACATGTTTTCAGGCTCTTATATTTTAGCAACTAAAATACACGTTACTTTTTGCTCTTTTCTTTTTTAACAAATAATATTTATTTTAATCAATTTTTGAATCAGTTATCTCTCCAAACTTCTATTTGAACTGAAACTTAGGCAACTCACAATTTCAAATTATTTTTAGGAATAATTTATGTTAAAATCAATCTGAAAAAAATTAAAAGATAAAAAGTTAATAATAAGCATTTTCCACAACACACGCTAATGTATGGTAGTTATCTAGAGGATAAATATTGAAGGCTGCTGCATTTATTTAATCCAAAGTAAAGTTTATATTTAGTCATAAACTTAAAATAATTAACCGATCGGTAGACTGTAATAAGAAAATTTACGACTTTTTTTGTGAAAGCAAAAAAATTATGTGATAGAATAAAACTATTTTATTTAGAACTCCTTATTTATTTTTTACAATTTTATAAAAATTACATTCCAAAGCATTTTAATCATTTTGATGATTATCTATTTACTCCTTTATAGCCAAAGAATTGTTGATGGTTTAGTTTAACTTTAAAAACTTTTTAATCAAATTGCTGGGTTTTGTTTTAAAAAAAAAATTACAGTTTAGGACTCATTTTTTTGGGAAGTTATCAAATTATACTAAATAAATATTTAAAAATAACTTCTCACAATAACTCTTTTTATATAAAAAATATACGTAGTGTTTACTTTAAATTTTTAAACTTAAAATGAATAATTTAGAACATATATTTTATAAACCTATTTTATTTTAAATTGAAAACTTACCTACACTTAATATAAATCTATTATTTTTTAATTTACTAATTGCTATATCAAAATTCAAAAGGACTTCGCGATATTTTGAAATCATATTCCAAAAAGTGGGCTATAGATTTCTTATATTACTTTTTAAAAGTTGTACTCCTATTATTATTGTTGTGACAGAGTTAACTACTTACAATTTTTATTTGGCAAAATGATTTGGTGGACCCTTGTACTTGTATGCGTTTGTATTGTGAATCCTTCTACTTACCTCTTTGTCATCTGGACCCTGAACCCATCTAAACTCAACCTATTGAACCCTTTCAACTCATCGTGATTCTCAATCGTGCTGATGTCACATGCCATGTCAGATAAAATTTGCCACATCATTTTTTATTTTTATAATAATTTCTTTTTTGACAAAAGAAAAATCATAAAGTTTTGATCAATTTTGACAAATTAAATTTTAATTTATTATTTTAAATTAAAAGTTTGGATCTCCTCACATCATCTTCCATTTTCACTGTGAAATGGCCCAACTGCCGGAAAAAGTCGTTGTTGTTGCCGCTCCTCTTGCGGGCGAGACCACAAATACGATCTCCCCCACCAACCTCCATCTTCATCGAACACCCTCACCATTTTCTTTCCTCCTTCTCTAACCTCCACAAATCCAGAAACCCTAAGCCGCCGCACCAGCTCCTCGCCCCTCACTATCACCGACCGCTATGCTCTCCATCCTCTCCGGAGTATCAGAAGGCCAAGAAACTCCTTACTGTCTCCGGTGTACAAATATGCTAGGAGGCTCCTCACCGTCGTCTCAGTCGTCGTCGCAACTCTTGCCGGCGACCATACGTGCTTTCTTCCTCACCCGTCTTCATCTCCGTCGCACCATGGCCACCAGATTTGACCGGAAAACCTCTTCGCTGTCGTGACCAGATCCCACCCTCACCCGCCTCGTTCTTCTTCCACTGACCTGCGTCGTCTCTCTCTAGGTGCCAATGCGAAGATCTGCTAAAGAAGATGACAAGAGTGTGAAGAAGAAAGAAAAATGGATTGGAATGGAGATGGCCAAAAATGGAGGTGAACCGGTTGGCGGAAGAAGAAAGCCTTTTTTAGTTATTTTTTTAAAAGTATTTTTATTTTATTGTTTTATTTTTTTATTTTTTTATTTTTTTAATATTTTTTGAAACTTAGATAGGATATCACTCGCCTTAACGAGAGTGAATTCATGCACTTTTGCCAACTCAACCATATTGATGCCACATAAGCCTAGTCAATGGTCAGAGGGGTTTGATAAATTGTGTTTTATTAAGTCTAAGGGTTCA